TCGACTGTTCTTAGGACCAATTTTCGAACGAAAAATCATTCAGAAAATCGACCCATGCACGGCCGGCCTAAATCTTGCTGACCCACAACAGCCAATCGGATTCTTCAGTATTTTTTTTTATTATCCTTCATATTTCCAAACCAGCACAGGGAAAATTTTCAGTCTAAATCGGATTTTTTTTTTTTTTTGCTATGGTCATCACAGCTGAAGTTCTGAAGACCCCGCTCTGATAGGATGACCGCTTTGTACTGACACTGGAGCTGTTCGGGGGGGCTTAGTATTTCGGTCCTTGTGGGCCGTGGATGGGGCCCTTACCCAGCATGCACCTGACCTTGCCATGGCAAGTGTGGCTCCTAAATTATATTTGACGACTTAAAACTCCATGTAGCCATTCTGAGGGAGCAGGAAAAGCCTGGATTGGCAACACTTGCAACGGCTTGTGAGGCCTCAATGTCATGATATGTTACACCCATATTCAGGGTTAGAAACCACGGGGCCCCATACAAACCAACTTGACAGAGCCCCCAACTCCCCCCCCCCCCCACCAAAAAAACCCCCCAGTTTACTAGGCTTCAGTTATGAATAAACACAGTGAATGATTGGTACTGATCATTCTTTGTGTTCATTCAGGAAAGGAAGGGGCTGGTAAATGTGACATATTTACCGGACCATTCCCCCACTCTCCATCCTATTATGTGTTTGCAGCTGTCGGTGGGAAGGAGAGGAGGGAATCCAGCAGCACTGCGGGGGCACATGAGGGGTGGAGCCTGGGCAGCAGGGGGAAACATGGATCACAGGGAGGGTGATGGGTGTTGGTGAGAAAGGAGTGGAGGGTAATTACAGGAACCGATCCCCTGTATGGTTCTGCTCTGCAGCAGCTGAAAGCCAGTGGGAGGGAGAGAAGAAGCCAGCTTTCAGCTGCTGCAGAGAGAGCCACTCCGGGGATTGGTTCCAGTAATTCCCCTCCCCCTGCCAATCACCCTCCCTGCCTACATCTGATTCACCCAGCTGCCTGGGGCCCTGTACAGGAGGACTGGTGGTACCCCCTTATCTCTGGCCCTGTTCAGGGGTGTAACATGATGAAAGCACTGGCCCGTTTTGACAACTAGCAGGGGATTCCCCCGCCCCAGCTGTCGCATTTTTAAAACTGTGGCCGTGTGAGGCTCCGCCCACCCAGCTGCGTCACTCCTCTTAATGAGAAACTACAAGTCCCAACAACCTTAGCAGCAGTCGGCTCATGAACTACCAGCACTTTGGTAGCTCATTGACTCTTCCTGTCAGTATATCTGCCGGCCTGTACATCCCGTACTGACAAGCACCCATACGGACAGGTCTGCAGGGGACCTGCATGGCACCAATGATCTGCTGATTGCTGATGCAATGCTTTACAGGTGCCTAGATCAAAAAATAAATGCACATTTTTTTTTTACCTGCAAAAAAATGTGCATTTATTATTTTATTTTGTACCAAAAGGTAAACTTATGCTTTAGGCTTGGTGCAATATCTATCTATATATTTATTTATTGTGTTTGATGCTGTATCCAGTGCTTTTTTCAGTTTGTTTTGCATTTTTCTACACATGTTCTTGATGCGTTTTTACCGCGTTTTGCTCAGCTTTTTTTTTTTTTTTGTTGAAGTGGAATTTTTTTTGTTGCTGGGCAGAATAGAAATACAAAACAAGAGAAAAACACACTACCGTGCATTTCATCAGCTTATCCACTGAACTCTACTGTTGAAAAAAAAATGCTGTTTTTTTTGCCTTTAAAAAAAAAAAAAAAAAATAAAGTCCCTGACTCTTTCCAAAAACGCAGCAGCTCAAAAAAGCCTAGATGTGAACATGTTCCGTAGGAAACCATGGTGAATGGACTGTAGTGTGTTTCTGCAAAAAGCACTAAAAAAAACGCATTGGTGTGAACGGAGCCTTACCCCTGGTTCACATGTATGGGGCCGTGTGGGCTGCATTTGCGCGGGCAAAAGAGCCCATTCATTTGAATGGACTCCCGTGCCAGGCAAGGAAAGAAGTCCCTGCACTTCTTCTGAAAACGCAGCCGAGGTTCCCAGTACAGTTGCGTTTCCCAGTGCGGACGGCATGCCATTAGAACTAATGGCCCCAGCCCGAGGGTCCGCATTCTTCTGTGCGGCTGCACAGATTTTCATGCGGATCCACAATGGCATCACCCGCACAGATTTGGACCAGGGCTGAAACTGCTAAACATGCAGCTGAACGACGTCTGTGCAGATTGTCTTGACACTTAACTCCGGGCAAACCGCTAAACACATGGATGTATTACATATACAGGAGCAGTTTTATCTGCCAAAGGACTTGCACTTCTGTTCATCCAGTCCTGAGATTTACACAGTACTGCCTGGCAGGAGACATGATTGTTCCCTAATGAAGTTACTTAAACACTTACAGGTCTTGTTCCTCTACCGGTCACAGGCTGCAGACAGGTAAGTTCATGTCTCTCACTCTGCTTTCTCCTTCCACGACCATGTTCCTCATTTGCATATAAGAACTGCAGGACCACTGACTGGGGCCTAGTTCTAATTCGCAGCATTGCTCAGCTCAGAGCTACAACAGGGGCGAGAAAGAGCATGTGCGGCTTTTACTAAAGTTGGATATTGCCCCCTGAAATAGGCGTAGGCCATTTACGTACCTCCCAAAGCCTGGCCAAAATACTCCCAGAGATGGCATCACCCCTCCTGCCTTGTTGCTAGGATGTTGCTAAGCTGTTACTGCCCATCCCCATCATTACAGGAGTAAGCGCTCAAACCCCCCACACACATGTGGTCAGCTATCTGCTCTGTCTCAGCATCCCTGAGCTCAGAGCTACTGCAACAGGGGCGAGAGAGTGCATGGGAATGGGGGGGGTAAAATCAGTTAAGAGTGTCTTAGCAACGTCCTAGCAACAAGGCAAGACAGGGTGATGCTATCACCTGAAATGTTCATTAGCATATGAGCACTGCCTGATGCCTACTTCTAATCCTTCCTCTCCCCGTCCTGCTGTACAAGGCTGCGGGAGGCCGATGATATGCCAATTTCAGGTACTTGCATTTAAAAAATGACATTCAATGATGTGTTAATGAACACAGAGCTGCTTTCACTTGTGTCTTTATATAGATCAGCCAAATGAGTTCTCACGCAGCAAGCTGGCTGGTGGCAGAGAAGTGTGATACAAGCGCTGGAATCCTGAGCACGGTAACAGTGGAATCCTTTTCTTCGATGGAACGTGGCGGGGTTGTAGAAATCACAAGCCTGGATAAACAGAATACAATTTTTTTGGTAGATAAAACTTCACAAAGATATCGTTGAGCTGCGTGTATAAGGGTTCATGTACACTGCAGCTGATAAATCATGGCCTAATCGCCTGCTAAATACCGCCCCCCCAACTGCAAATGTGAGCAAGTCTTAGGGCTCATGTACACTGCAACTAATAAATCATGGCCTAATCGCCTGCTAATACCGCCCCCCCCAACTGCCCATGTGAGCAAGTCTTAGGGCTCATGTACACTGCAGCTGATAAATCATGGCCTACTCGCCTGCTAATACCACCCCCCCAAGTGCCCATGTGAGCAAGTCTTAGCAGGCGAGTAGGCCATGATTTATCAGCTGCAGTGTACATGAGCCCTAAGACTTGCTCACATGGGCACTTGGGGGGGTGGTATTAGCAGGCGAGTAGGCCATGATTTATCAGCTGCAGTGTACATGAGCCCTAAGACTTGCTCACATGGGCACTTGGGGGGGTGGTATTAGCAGGCGAGTAGGCCATGATTTATCAGCTGCAGTGTACATGAGCCCTAAGACTTGCTCACATGGGCAGTTGGGGGGGCGGTATTAGCAAGCGATTAGGCCATGATTTATCAGCTGCAGCGTACATGAGCCCTAATACCGCCCCCCCAACTGCAAATGTGAGCAAGTCTTAGGGCTCATGTACACTGCAACTAATAAATCATGGCCGAATTGCCTGCTAATACCGCCCCCCCAAGTGCCCATGTGAGCAAGTCTTAGGGCTCATGTACACTGCAACTAATAAACTGACGTTTAGGAGCTTTTCTGCGTTTTTTTTTTTCAGAAGCCCCTTAACTCCCCTAATGGTTTCCTATGTGTCCATGTACACAGTCATTTACAGTAGTTCACAGGCAGTTGAGTTTACAGTTGTTTTTTTGAACGCACCAAACTTGCGGTCAGGAGTTGATACGCTTGTAAACGCGGTTAACCGCCTTTAGAAGCGTTTGCGTTTAAAAGCGTTTTTTTAACTGTTCCATATCCATATTCATTCCCCGATCAACACTGACTGAATGCCTCCTGCAGCACTCTTGTGTTCTCTCGTTGAGGAACCTTACCTGCGCTGTCAGGAGATCGCATGAAAAAAAAAAAAATCAGAGGCTAGTTATACTAAAGTCAATCGATGGATCGAATTCAGTACAACCAGCCTACCCTTGGATGGATCGAATCGATCCATCTATGGCCGGCTTTAGCCCCTTCTGGGTAAAACCCATCAAAGTGAGAAGGATCTGAGCAGACCCTCTGTGATCTTGTCTGGAACAATAACATATTACTGTATGCTGATGCCACTGAAGTGCTGCCTGTTCACCTAACAATCATTTTAGGTCAGCGGATCTTTAGATATGGTACCCTTTTGGTCACTGAAGGATAATGTACAATTCTGCCCCCTTGTCCTGAGCTAGTACTCACCATAAGCAAGAGGTGTGAAAATGGTTAAGGAGCTTTGCATGGTAACAGAACACCCCCAGTGCAGTACAAACCGATAGATCAGGATCTACAGAATCAAACCAATAAAAGCTGTTCTATGCACGTCCGTTCTGACACAGCTCGAGTAACATTTCAAAGTGCTCAGAACGATTTGGGAATCGATGGCTCGCATACTTGGCATTTCTGAAGGCACAATCTATGGACGAGGAGAGTTTAAAAAAAAAATAAAAGTCAATAAACAGAGCGGATGAACTGGAGAGAGTGGAACGGGAGGACAGGATGTAGTTTAAAGGACAAGACCCTCGTAAACAGGTCCTTCTGATTCCGGGGACTCTTTCCGTAGACGCAAGTGCTCCAGGGTGTTGTGAAAGTGTTTGTTGATCTGTTCTGTCTCTTCGCAGGACTCCAGGTTTGGGAGATCTTCTCTAATCTTCTGGATAAGCTGGTTCAGGACCTGGATGGTGACCTGTGAAGGAGAATTTACAGAGTTAGGACAGTGAAGTTAAAAAAAAAAAAAAAAAAAAAAAGAAGCAAATTCGATTTGCACCAAAATGAAAATTCTGGACCGCACCGAAAATTAATCATGCACTTGACCGAAAACCATAAAAAAAAAAAATTATTTATATATATATATATATTCTCCTAGATTGCAAGATCTAACAAGCCGGGCCCTCTGTTTCCTCTTGTACCAAATTGTATTGTAACTGTAACGTCTGCCATTTTGTAAAGCGCTGCGCACACTGTTGGCGCTATATAAATCCTGTATAAAATAATAATTGCATTATATTCAACTTAATATCACAAACTTAAATGAATATAAATTTAAAAAATACAATCCAGTAATGTAAAATAACTTTTTGAAAGACACACAAAAAATGGACAGAAAATAAAATGAATCGTATATAATAAATATACTTACCTGCTCTGTGCAATAGTTTGCACAGAGCAGCCCCAATCCTCTTCTTTTCAGGTCCCCCGCTAGTGTTCCTGACTCCTTCCCTGTGACCAGTTCCCCCAATAGCAAGCCGCTCACTATGGGGGTACTGGTGTGTGCTCGCTCCTGAGCCCAGTTCTATGTGTCACTAAGACACATAGAACCCTGGGCTCTGCCTGTCCCCGGCTCTCTCCTCATTGGCTCACTGGCTGTGATTGAGGCCAATGGCTCCCACTGTTGTCTCAGCCAATGAGGAGAGGGAGTCCCAGGACAGCCGAGGCTCCCATGCACATTGCTGGATTGAGAGCAGGATCAGGTATGTATTGGGGGCTGAGGGGGGAAGCAGCACACAGAGGGGTTATTTTACCTTGGTGCAAAGACTGCACCTTCAGCCTTTACAACCACTTTAAATCCTCTAAATACCAGTTACGAGTGAGAAGAATGGAGACAAGCAATTTTTTTCAGGTCAATGGTTGACAAAACTGGCATAGCTGGGTGTACATCTGAATGACAAAATGACGTAAAATATAGCAAAAAACATGCATGATATTAATTGATGTCCCGAAAGGAGAGTCAGACTTACAATCCAGAGAAGAAGCTGCAGGAGACCCTACAAGACACTTCCAAGCATCAGCTACACAAACAAGTCTTGGTGCCCACTTGTAACAGCTCAATAAATGCTTTACTCCAACAAAATATTTCAAGGCCACTTGCATTGTGATGGAAAAAAAGGCAAAGGCTAAAAACACTTTAAAAAAATCCATCTGACCAGCAGTCATTATCTGAGCATCACAGAAGCTTTTTCAAGGTGTTCGGATTTAGCCTTTGCAATTTTGCTTCAGTAAAGAAAATCATATGTTGCAAGTGTCCTTGAGATCTTTTTATGGAATATATCAATGGCAAATAGGAACCTGTCCACTTACTACCGTGTTCCTGAGTAGCTGAAAGCCATTGTGCCGACATGTGACAAGGGAATAGCTTTGAGCTGCACACAGAAGGTCTCTCACCTTATTGCAAACAATGCATTTAGGTAAAAACCTTCTGTGTTTACAACCACTTTAAAGGAGGAGAAGAATGGCTGAAGATTTGTGTCTATACTTCTCTCATGGGTCACAGGAGTACAATGACTTCGGTCCTCCTGTGACCCAGAGTCACCTGAAAGCGGGCTATTCCTCTCCAGGCTTAGAAGGCATCTCAATGTTGTTGTCAGGATCCAACCAGCTGGCTCTGCTTTTCAGCGTACGACAAAGAGCCTGAGCCAACTGCTACAGCCCCCTCCCCAGCCCGACGCTCCGGTGAGCGATGGAGGAGCAGAGCGAAGAGCGGCAACTGACAGTCACTGCTCTCCTCCCGGAGCAGATCGATAACAGACATGTGATCACTCAGTTCTTGGTTTTAGAGCCGAGGCAAGACATGCACCCTCCCTCCCAATAAAAAAAAAAAAAAAAAAAGGAAGTATAAACACTCTCTAGCAATACATACCAAACAGAGCATGTGCAGACTTGCCACTGCTGCTCTAACTATGGCAGATGGATTGGGAACAGTAGAAGGGGAGGATTAGAGAAGACAGGCTCAAACAACCTTTTTAAACAATGTGGAGGATTAATTCCTTAGGTTCCAGCCCGATTAGCCCCCTCACCAGCCCGACGCTCCAGTAAGCAATGGAGGAGCAGAGCGAAGACTGACAATCACTGCTCTCCTCTCGGAGCAGATCGATAACAGACATGTGATCACTCAGTTCTTGGTTTTAGAGCCGAGGCAAGACATGCACCCTCCCTCCCAAAAAAAAAAAAAAAAAAAAAAAAGGAAGTATAAACACGCTCTAGCAATACATACCAAACAGAGCATGTGCAGACTTGCCACTGCTGCTCTAACTATGGCAGATGGATTGGGAACAGTAGAAGGGGAGGATTAGAGAAGGCAGGCTCAAACAACCTTTTTAAACAATGTGGAGGATTAATTCCTTAGGTTCCAGCCCGATTAGCCCCCTCACCAGCCCGACGCTCCAGTAAGCAATGGAGGAGCAGAGCGAAGACTGACAATCACTGCTCTCCTCTCGGAGCAGATGGATAACAGACATGTGATCACTCAGTTCTTGGTTTTAGAGACCAGGTAAGAAAGCTTAGCCCCTTAGGTTCCAGCCCGATTAGCCCCCTCCCCAGCCTGACGCTCCAGTGAGCGATGGAGGGGCAGAGCGAAGAGCGGCAACTGACAGCCACTGCTCTCCTCTCGGAGCAGATCTATAAAGAGACGTGATCACTCAGTTCTTGGTTTTAGAGCCGAGGTAAGAAGGCTGCGGCATCACACAGATACTACAGCATGAAGGTGAGTATGTAGGTTTATTTTTTGTAAATACCATACTTCTCCATTAAGTGACATGGGAACCCAAGGAACAGTGTACTTTGATGTAAATGCTATGTTAATCAAAGCAAAGTAAAAAAATGTCCTATTTTTGGCCAGCACACATTAGGCAAAATTGCCCTGTTTTTGCATTTTTGCACTGGGCAATCTGGCCAAATGTCACTGGTGTGAAAGATCCCTTAAAGTGTAACTAAACCCAGGACTCTGCATTCACTATATCTGGTCTCCCCGGACCCCGCATTCGCTATATTCGCTCTCCCTGGGCCCTGCATTCACTATATTCAGTCTCCCTGGACCCGGAATTCACTATATCCAGTCTCCCTGGACCCGGAATTCACTATATCCAGTCTCCCCGGACCCTGCATTCACTATATCTGGTCTCCCCGGACCCTGCATTCACTATATCTGGTCTCCCCGGACCCTGCATTCCCTATATCCGCTCTCCCCGGACCCCGCATTCGCTATATCCACTCTCCCCGGACCCCGCATTCACTATATCTAGTCTCCCCGGACCCTGCATTCACTATATTCATTCTCCCCAGACCCTGCATTCACTGTATCCGGTCTCCCCGGACCCTGCATTCACTATATTCATTCTCCCCGGACCCTGCATTCACTGTATCCGGTCTCCCCGGACCCTGCATTCACTATATTCATTCTCCCCGGACCCTGCATTCACTATATCTGGTCTCCCCGGACCCTGCATTCACTATATCTGGTCTCCCCGGACCCTGCATTCACTATATCTGGTCTCCATGGACCCTGCATTCACTATATCCGCTCTCCCCGGACCCTGCATTCACTATATCCGGTCTCCCCGGACCCTGCATTCACTATATCCGGTCTCCCCGGACCCTGCACTCACTATATCCGGTCTCCCCGGACCCTGCATTCACTATATCCGCTCTCCCCGGACCCTGCATTCACTATATCTGGTCTCCCCAGACCCTGCATTCACTATATCCGGTCTCCCCGGACCCTGCATTCACTATATTCATTCTCCCCGGACCCTGCATTCACTATATCCGCTCTCCCCGTACCCCGCATTCACTATATCCGCTCTCCCCGGACCCCGCATTCACTACATCTGGTCTCCCACAGTTCACAGAAGATGGAAGTGCAATTATTTTAGTAAATATAAACCACTAAATACCTTTACTCATTAGCAGTATATAGCAGTCTTGTGACTTCAATCAGTGTCCAGCCTAGCACTGGTTAATCATGTAGGAGGTGTTTTCACTCTCCTCTTACTGTCCTATGAGGCTGTCTTACCCCTGACCCTCTGACTGGACCTGTGTTGATCACAAGCACCCTCCCATAAAATGGATGGATGGATTGGGAACAGTAGAAGAAGGGGAGGATTAGAGAAGACAGGCTCAAACAGCCTTTTTACACAATGCAGAGGATTAACCCCTTAGGTTCCACAGTGAGTATAACAAGCATGCTTTACTGCATCTACAGACTGATTGTTCTGTTGTGAGTTTAGTAACACTTTAAATTACACCAACCAGGTCATGAGAATTTACAAAGTTCAGCGCTGTACAATAAAATATATAAAATAAAATATAATATATTCAGCCCTCGAACAGAGCTGAAAGCTGACTTACAACATTATATTTAAACCCAGAGCTAGTGTATACAACTGCTTCGTCCCCCCCCCCCCCCCCCCCCCCCCCAAAAAAAAGAACGAGGGAGTAAAAGTGAAGTGATGAGAACACGGACATACCGCATCATTTTCCTTCTCGTAGAAGTAGATGTATTTGTTGAGGATTTCTATGAAGAGCTGTACTTGAAGGGAAGGGTCCATGCACTGATTAGCAATCTTCAGAGCCTTCTTCAGACACTCCATAACGCGTTTGCCACTGTGAATCTACAATACAGCAAATCAGACAGGCGGTGAGTGGGAGGGGACACCGTGGAAAAGTTCCTCCGTTTTCTCACAATGATCAAAACTTCCATCACTCAAGACTCAATGAAACAGTAGTAAAGTGTAGCTACAGCCAAATAAATGCCCATTACCTTATCCAGAGCACATCAATATATTTCATTTGCCATGGTTGCTTCTCTGTGTTTAAATAATCATTTAATGTATGTAGCCTTTTATCTTCCTTTTTTAGGGTGGCTACACTTGCCCTACATGGTTTCAGTGTAGATCTAATGTAGCCACCCTCTTAGTGTGTTCCTATTGTGAAATACAATGGTAGGTACCGATGCAGCCAGATCCAGCAGATATAACCTCCTTCAAGTTGATTCATTTGCAGCACTGCCAGTGGTGTATGTTGTTTTTGTGCTGCCCTAGGCAACACAAAAATCGGGCGCCCCCCCAAAATTAAAAAGTAAAAAAAAGCAACCCTCCCTGCAAAAACTTACGCAGCCTTATGCTGGCACCCATACTAGATACTCTCCAACCCAATATACACACCCTATAGTTTATCCAACCTACCCCAAAGGAATCCACCCCATACATATACCCCGATGCATGTCCTTCTGATCGCACCCTCCACATAATCGCCAACCTGATCACCCCCCCCCCCCCACACACACACACACATACCACCAACCTGATCACACCCCCATATACCACCAACCTGACCCCCCCCCCCCCCCCCCCCCCACATACCACCAACCACCAACCGATCACACCACCCCTACTTACCACCAACCTGATCGCATCCCCCCATTATAATGCCAACCTGATCACCCCCGCCCACATACCGCCAACCTGATTGCAGCCCCACAAATACCGCCAACCTGATCAACCCCCCACATACCTGATCGCATCCCCCCATTGTACTGCCAACCTGATCACCCCCGCCCCCACATACCGCTAACCTGCTTGCACCCCCACAAATACCGCCAACCTGATCACACACCCCAGTTATACCAACCTGATCACCCCCCCACACACATACCACCAACCTGAACACGCTCCACACACACACCGCCAACCTGATCACACACACCCACATACCAACAACCTGACCACAATCCCCTCTCTAATCACACCCTCAGATCCCTCCATTCTGATCCCCCAAATACTCCCCTCTCCCATCGCACACACCTTAGGTTTACCAATCCCCCCAGGTCTCACCAGTCCTGCAGCTCCTCTATATGGAGCCAGGATGATTAGCCGTGTATCAGGCAGTCAGAAGAAGATCTCTACCAGGATTACAGGTGGCAGCGGCAGCATAGAGCGGGGAACCTCCTCCTCCACCCTGCATGTGCAGGCACACGCCTCCATTCCGGAGCCTACCTGACAGCGGGACCCTGTCCCTTCCCTGCATGCACCTGGGATCAGCCCACCGCTCCATCCTCCTCATGCATCCTCGGATCCATTCTGACAGCGGGGTAACCTCATCGTCACGCTGTGCCTCGGTGTGCTCTACTGCTCTCCCAGCAGCTTACTAAACAGCAGACAAACTAAAACATCCACGCTTCGCCCTCTCTCCTACCGGGTGCAGCGTGGAAGTTTTAGTTTGCCTGCCGGGGGACAAGTGTTTTAAAAATTCAAATCCCTAGCAAGCGGCTGGGGCTCCAGAATTTACCACACTTCTGCCAGGGGGCAGAGCCCCCCCCCCCCCCCCTTAAAAATGCCACCCTAGGCAAGCGCCTTGTTTGGCTCGTGGTAAATACACCTGTGAGCAACCACTTCCCATTGCAAATTGGAATGAGGAGACACGCATGCACCTTGTTGAATGCAAAAGCTGACTGAGGAAGTTACGTGATCGGTGACAAAAACACGTAGGGGCAGAAACCTGACAGATGACGCTGGGAGGATGGTCTGAGAGGGTTTTATACAGTTTGTTATACAGGCTCAGGCATGTGTTTAACCTTTTGCCCACCACCCCCATACCAGATATACTGCTACAGGGCAGCCGCGCTGTGCAGATTCATGTATATAAAAATGTGATTCTGCACTTCCAAGTAGTGGGTGCGCTGCTTCTGCTGTGACTGGAAGCTGATCAGCAGGTGCCGGCCAATGGATGAGCGCCGGCACCCGACAATCGTCTAGGATAGTGACCTCCAAATTTGCGGCCCTTATATGAATATACTTTGTGAGTAGTGATGTACACATGAACAATCATCGTTTAAAATCAAGGATAATTCAAGGATAATCAATAATTCAAGGATAATCAAAGAAAAATTATTTTTCCTGCATGGAGAGAGAGAGTGAGGGGTAGGAAAGAGTGGGAGGAGAGAGAGAAAGGGGGGGGGGAGAGAGAAGAAGTGGGGAGGAGAGGGGGAGGGAGAAGGGGGGGGAGGAGAGAGGGGGGGGAGAGAGAGGGGGCGAGGGAGAGGGAGGGGGGAGAGAGAGAGGGGGGAGGAGAGAGGGGGAGGGGAGAGGAGAGGGAGGGGAGAGCGAGAGGAGGAGAGGAGAGTTGGGAGGGGGGGAGAAAGAGGGGGGGGAGAGAAGGGGGGGAGGAGAACGAGAGAGGGGGGGGAGGGGAGGAGAGGGGGAGAGAGAGTGGGAGGAGGGGAGAGGGGAAGGGAGAGGGGAGGAGAGACGCCGGGGGAGGGGGGAGGAGTTGAGAGGGGAGAGAGAGGGGGACGAGAAGGGGAGGAGGGGGATGAGGGGGTGGAGAGGGGGGGGGGAGGGGGCTTTGAGAGGGGGGGGAGGGGCGAGGAGGGGAGAGGGGGAGAGAGGGGGAGAGAGGGGGAGAGAGGAGGGCGGAGGTCTGAGGTTGGAGGGGTGGGGGAGGGGGGGAGAGAGGGTTGGAGAGTTTTTGGGGTCTCTCTGAGGGGGGAGGAGAGAGAGGGGAGGAGTGAGGGCTCGAGGAGAGAGGGGGAGGAGAGAGGGGGAGAGAGGGGGAGAGAGGAGGGGGAGTGGGGGGGAGGGGGGAGAGGAGATGATGGGGGGAGAGAGAGGGAGAGAGGAGAGGGGGGGAGGGATCTGTCAGACGAGATGGGGGAGACTTTTTGTGAGGAGGGGAAGAGGGGGAGAGGATTTATTTTTTGAAAGAGGGGGGAGACGGGGAGAAAGAAAAAGGGAGAAAGACTTTTTCAGTTTTGTTGGCCATCACTTAGTTTGTCCATCAGTTATCTTCCATCTATGTTGCATGTTGGTTTTCTCTCTTTGGATTTGTATGAATTTAAAAGTGATTACTGGAATTGTAAGGTCAAAACCTGTTAAATCAGGTGAGAGCACAAATTAACTGGTGAATAAGCACAGGAGGGGAAGCAAATTACATATCACAGAATAAAGACTTTTATTGTATGGACTGTAGCAATTGAAGAATATTGGATCCGGTTGATGTTATAAGTGGGAATAACGCTTCACAGATGTTGGAATGATGATGTCACTGTTACGAGTAATATCTGGGGTTTGCGAAGACATTTGGCGCGCACAAAGTGGATTTAAATCGTTTGCAGGAATATGTGTAAATAAAAGTTTCAGCATTCAATTACCAACTTTCTCTTGGGCAAGACGTCATATGACGTTGTTAGGTTTAAGTGGTTATTTCAAAATTTGCAGCCGGCGATGTTTGTAACAGTGATTCGAATGGATATATAGTTACTTAAACACTTCTACAGGTGGTGGAAAAAGGGGGGGGGCACGAGCACCCCACCCCTTTTCTGGGACCGCTTTAACCAGTGCTGTCTAGTTGGCCAGAGAGAGAATAGTTCCTCTCTCTCTGAGATCTGAAACAGGGATGAGTGACGAGGATTTTGTTCCGGTTCGGTTTACTGGCCTGTTTTTAGCCAGTGAAGCAGCCGATCAGACTGATCTGTGTCGATCAGCTGCACTGGAGGCCAGAGAAGAAAATTGGGGTCTATCTCTCCATAAAGAGGACCTGTCAGAGCCCATGCTATAACAAGGGATATTGTTCATCCTTTGTGTGATAGTAATAAAGTTGATTTAAAAAAAAAAAACTGAAAAAAGGGACAGCATAAAAAAAGGTTTTAATATAATAAATGATTAAAAATAAGTTTTAAAGCACCCATGTCCCCCTGTGCTCACGCACAAATGCAAACACATACGTAAGCCTCACACACATATGTAAATGGTGATCGCACACCACACATGTAAGGTATTGTCGTGAGTGAGAGCAATAATTGTAGCACCAGAACTCCTGTGTAACTCTAAACTGGTAACCTGTAAAGGCTTTTAAAGCATCGCCTAAAGAGATTTTTAGGTACCGCTAGTTTGGCAGTTTGGCGCTTGTTCCACAGTTTTAAAGTGTGACATGTTGGGGATCTATTTACTCGGCCTAATTATCTTTTATATTTTATCAACAAATTAGGTGTTCTATTGTACTCACGAAATTATTTAAAAAGTGTAATTCCCAAGTGTTTCCCAATAATCTGAGCGAAAAAAAAAAAAACGCTGCGCAAATACAGTGCGACATAATAAATTGATACACCCACCATTTTATTCTCTAAGGCCTCTGCTTAAAACAATATATAATGTTTGGGAGTTCTAAGTAATTTTTCTAGCAAAAAAAAAAAAGTTGATTTTTACATGTAGGAGAAGTGTCAGAACTGGCAGGATAGTAATCACAAATATGGGAACACTTCCAACTGACAGATTTTAGAAAGCAATGCACAAACTCAGGCTATTTCGCTTTATTCACTGCAGTTGTGCTTTACAACTGCAGCGAATAAAGTGGGGAAAGAAACACTTCGACATATTTCATGCCGCTGTTCTGCACGGGGGGGGGACTGACCATTCGAACACTCGGGGTCAGTAGGGGGCTCCATGAGATGCCCCTGGTACCTTTCATAGGCTTTTTTTTTTTGGGAGTGGTTTGAGTGTGGGCGAAAACACAGGGGGCCCCATGATCCTCTATTGTCCAGGGGCCCCATGAGTTGTCAGTCTGCCCCTGGTTCTGCAACATTGTTGGTCTCTCCAAGTATTAGTGAGCACTCTCT